TGCCCTATATTTATTTTCTTAAAGTCATGTAGGAATAATTGCATGGGGAGAAGGGGAGTACAGATAACACCACATTTTCAGGACTGCTTCAAGTATTCCTAGTGCTGAATAACTTTTGCTTATCAAATAACATTCCATAGGCCATTGAAAGTATCATAATATATGCATAATAAAATCAGCACATTGTATTCTGCCTGTGTTCACTCCCTGCAGTTGCTACAGCAACCTTATCAGACCAGGCAGCATTCTCATTCATACGAATTCTTTGGGAGCATAATTTTACTTACTTTTAGGCAGGAGGTCTGCCAAGGAGAGGAAGATGTACAGAGATCTGATTTAATGAGCTCATTGTGCATATCCCCCTTTTGAACAAAATCTGGTTTGTTAAAAAAAATGAAATCACTATTGAACGAGCAAATCTTTGTCTTTACTATTAGCTGCTTTGAGTCTCCTTATAGATAGAAAAAGCAGGATATAAATAAATATAATAATACCATAATACATGAACAATTTCAGTGACTGGTTGCTTATGGTTGAGTTTGTCTGTTGGCAACAGTGTCTTCATGAACTCATTTTAATTGGAAGAGCAGAACTCTTCAATATAACTTTGTTGTTTTTCTAAGAGCTAAATGTTTTCCTTAAGACAGTATAAAGCAGGGGTCCTCAAACTTTTTAAACAGAGGGCCAGGTCATAGTCCCTCAAACTGTTGGAGGGCTGGATTATAATTTGAAAAAAACATAAATGAATTCCTATGCACATTGCACATATCTTATTTGTAGTGCAAAAAATTTAAAAACAATACAATAATTAAAATGAAGAACAATCTTAACAGATATAAATTTATTAGTATTTCAATGGGAAGTGTGGGCCTGCTTTTGGCTGATGAGATTGGGTTGTTGTTGTTGTGTGCTTTTGAGTTGTTATAGATTTAGGTTGACCCTGAGCGAGGGCCGGGTAAATGACCTTGGAGGGCCGCATCCGGCCCCCGGGCCTTAGTTTGAGGACCCCTGGTATAAAGGCATCTCTTGATAATAATTTGTGTATACTTATGAAGTTTCAGATCTATACGTAGCCCATTATATAATGTATGAAAATGCTTTCTATGTATTAGTCGCATGTCATGGAAAGTTACAGCCCTATTTTGCAAAAAATTCCAGTGTTTATATTCTTTACATTGGAAATACATTAATTATCTTGAATCCATTTGCCAGGCTGTTCTGTGTGAAGGAGTAGATAGATAATGATCCTAATCTTTCCAACAGCTGAGGTGCTAAGTGAAGAACCCATCTTGAAATGGTATAAAGATGCGCATGTTGCCAAAGGAAAGAGTGTCTTTCTGGAACAAATGAAGAAATTCGTAGAATGGCTCAAGAATGCTGAAGAAGGTAATAAAACATTGAATACATTAACTGTTATTGTTGGAAGCAAAGAGTATGACAAAACATGTTCTTGATGGAAAACTTTTTCTTTATTTCAGAATCTGAGTCTGAAACTGAAGAAGGTGACTAAGTTGTCAAACTGTCAACAGTAAAGCAAACAGGAGCTGTACATAAAATGTCATGTCTTGTGTTCTTCTGATTTTTACATCCTACCTCCCTATATCAAGCATGATATAAGGGCTCTCATGGCAAATTTATGTTTGTGTTTTCTATGGTCATTAGAGAACACGGGAATTAGGTTTTTAAAACCATGTATTGGTAGCTTACAGGAGCTATAGATTTGATTCTAACATTGCATTAGTCCTTTCAGTTACATTCTACCTCCTGTATTTTCTACTGTAACATTTAAAGCCTTTCACAACTTAAAATTCATTTTATCCCTGGGTTTTCTATAAAAGTTTACAAGTAGACATGATTTGGAAAATAAAATTTGTTATACAATTCTGTTTGCAAATTAAACTGTACAAGTATCCAAAGTTGAGATGCAATAGTTGTGTGATTTTGTGTAGAAGACAACTAGACCCTTGCAAGAGTGATCTATTTTTCCAGCCCCTTCTCCTAAAGCCTTTCTCATGTTCTTGCATGGTTATATGCAAGGCCTGTGACTGTATTGACCCTCCATTTTATCATCTGGAAAATAATTTTATAGAGTAGCCTTTTTTGAAATGCAAAAAAAGGTTTACTTTTTGACCAGCCTTAAGACTGAATAATAATACAAGGCATTAAAAAACACCAATTAAACTTAACTAAAATGGTGGCCTTAAAGAAAAATATTAAATATGTAAAGCTTTTGTCACCGTTGACATGTGAAGAATGATAGTAAAGAATGAGCTGTTGAAAAGTTTTAGAATTCATCACTGGAAAGAATTGAAGTTTTTGGCATTGCTTGAACTAGCCTCCTCTGGTTCAAATCCATATGATGAACCTTATCACATTAGTGTTTTAAGACGGTGGTTCCTGCTTTCCTATCGTGTGGCTCTGTCATTCTTGAAACTACTACGTTGATATCTAATGCATTACTAATTATGGGATGGAGGATAATACCCTAGTTTAGCTATAGTGTTACCAGAAGGGACCAAGTTTCCCCATGTTTGCTGGGGAGATTGAAGGTCAACATTGCATTAGGTATCCTGGCAATGAAGAGCCTAGAGGCAATCCATTATTTGCACCAAACTTTGGAAATGACATTTGTCCCTTGTTTTTGGCTCTGGATCTACTTCCAGAATTCCTAAGCAGGAAATCAAGGATTTTCAACATGTATAGTGGATCCAAATTGTTCATCAGCTAGACAGTGAATAGATTCGCTTCATTAGACATTGTGCACAAGAGTTCATTGTATTTAGGCTGCTCTTCCACCTTGAGCAAGTTGTCCTCCATGTTCATCTCACATTGAGTTATGTGGATGTCAATCCTATAAATTGCAAGTTGCGACTGGAAGCCTTCTCATCTAGAGCATGTTGGAAGTTGTGGAAGTTCTTACTTCCCAATCTCTGTAGCTCACATGGATATCTTCTCTTGCATAAAATGTAAGATATAATAGCTTTTGGTGGAAATCTGGCCCTCAAGTGCATGCTTGTCAAGCTATTTTTTTTCTTTCCTTTTTGTTTGCCATAGGGAGCACTGCATTAACTGATCCTGCTTGAGTGACATCTTAATTCTGTCACAATTTCATATTTAATTCTATAATAAACATGGAATTATCCTTTTAAAGTATTAAACCAGGAATGGACTAGTGCACAGTCCATTATTTTCTTGTGCAATAGAAAATAAGTGTAGATTTGGGTAAAGTAGAACTCTGGGATTTTACATTATTTTTAAGTTGGTGAATACATTTTGAGGGTGAGGCAGCTAAAATGGCAGGGTCTTGTTTATTCGTATTTGACAGAATCAAACAATGTTGTTCTTAACATAGAGCCCTGTAGTAGTCCAATGGAATCTGAGGTTGGATTGTAGAGATTACTGGATGTGAAATAGAAAGCACTGACCATTTTCTAAAAGTAACAAGGGTTTAAATCTGTTTGTATGCTTAACTGGTACATATATGCTTAATAGTGGTGACATACTTAAATGGAATATACAGGAGGTAGAATATTGCAATCGCAATAAAAAATAAGATGCTGGGGAAAGTTCAAAGAAAAGCAGATATGGTTTTTTAATTTCACATTATGGTTAATTGGCATGGTTGTATTTTTTAATGCCACACTAAAAAGACTACTATAATTCCTACTTAACCTTTGTAGAAAAAAACATTGTTCCCACATGTAATTTTTAAGATCCTGGCTGAATTAGTGTAGAAAGGAGCAAGAATTTGTTGGAACAGAAAAGTGGTCTTAAAAAGTAATAATTGTGCTTAGAACAAAATCTACCATCATTTTCAGTTTTTTCTTTGGTAGACTGTGCAGCAGCCCAAAATTGTACTTCTACTGTGGCAAAAGATTATAGATTTGCCAATGTATTTTTGTGCTCGGCCACTGTTACCTTGTATTTAAGGCTTTTGAAAAATGTAGTTGAACTGAGTGAGGCTGAAGGAACGACCCCAATACACATGGGCTTATAACCTTTTGTGCCAACCAGCTTGAAACAGGTTTCAGAAATCTAAAACGTGTCCCCTTCAGGTTTTTCAATTTCTGCCCTGCAAATTGATTGAGTATACAGCAACCTAACAAGTGCTGGCAATTCATAGCACATAGCATTTGAAACAGAAATCCGTTCTTGAAACACTTTTAAATATGAGTGGAACCAAATTCATAAACCCAGGGTCTTCATGGAACAGGTTTGAGTCCAAACTTTGCTACCACATCTGCAAATGCTACATGGATGACATCTTTGACCAACAGAAGCTTCGGTGCAGTTCCCTGCTTTCGTGTTTCTGAATTAAGCTTTTCTTAGCAAGATTTGTCAAATTCTTGCTTCTGCCTTCCTTTAAGGTTGAGACAGTGTGTCATGCCCAAGGTCTCCCATGGCAATGCTAGGATTCAAACCCTCCAGAATCATAGGACCTCATCACATTGAGCTTTTTCCCAGCCATAGAACACCTCCATCTACATTTAAAGGATGAAGCAACACGGAGCCAATCACACGTTTGCTTACTTCTAGCCATCATCAAAATCTAGATGAAGTGTACTGAAAGGAGGGTGTTCAGACCACAGGCAAGTAATTGTGTTCTGAACCCCTGGCATGTGCCAGAACCATTGCTAACACCAAAAAACATGATGGGATCTGACATTCATTTGTGTTGCATCCGTGTTCCTCAGCACTTTTCTTGATATTGAAGTTTTCCCTGAATAATCTCCATGTGATGGTTCAAATGCAAACAAGGAGGGGTGGAAGGGAAAAACACATGTGATGGGAAGACACAACTTGGGGGTTGAAAGGTGTTGTTCCTCAGGTCCCCCCCCCCCCCCCAGTCCCAATGCTCAAACCAATATGACACTCTGGCTCCCATTCTTATTCCCCAATGCAAAGAAAATCCAACTTATCTTCCACTCTATCAGCACAAAGCTCATAAAGTTATCTTAGAGTTACAAGGCCAACAGTTTTTCAAAACAATGAAAAAGAAATTTTAAGAAAGTTTTTTATTGAGACCTAGGTCAATAAATTGGACACAACTGTATGAAAAGAAATTTACAGAATTACAAAATAAATACTTAAAAAATCAGTTGGATTTTTTGACTGATGCAGTTATTAATGAGCTACAGAACTATATTTTTTTAGTGAGGAAAAGAAGTGATGCTCCAAAGCTTCTGCAAGCGTAATTCGTTTGGCAGGATCATATTCCAACATCTTGCGTATGAGGTCAAATAGATTTTCATGGTCAGCATCATGGCACTGCATAAATTCCTAGGAAGAAGGGGGAAAATCACATTAGCATAGCACACTATAGGAAATGAGGGCTGAGGAAAACCTGTACAATCGTATACTCTTACCTTCAGTGGCTTGCAACGTCTTGAAACGTATCTGCCAGCAGAACTATGTTCATCCCAATCCAACTGGTCATGGTGGAAGTACTTGCGTTTTCTGGCAAAATACAAAGTTAGAACTAACTACATGGGAGCAAGTTTAACCATGGTAAGCTATTTATTTAAAAGAAACTAGGAATCCATCTACCATATGACAAACTGCAACAGTTATGCTACTAACAAGATGCTGAATGAGAAACACCCATGTAGAAACTATGAATACCTTCTGGTCCACATTAAACTTACAACAGTGTAGGAAAAACACACTGAAGCATTTGCCATACAGACACACATAAGAATAAGTGAAACAATTTAGCAACTACACTGGCATGAGTTAAAGCTCATGAATGCTGAGGTATATACTTTTTATTTCCCTTTAAACTGAGCCACAAACTAATCCAAAAAAATTGAGCAGCCTCAGGTGTGCTCTAGAATATTGTGAAACAATATTGGTGAAAAGCTTGTTTATAATTAGTTCGAAATAACCAAGGATCTGGTCGTTTCTTTCCATAATTAATCTCTCAATGCTATATAAATAAGAAATGTAGATAATCTAAAAGACAAATTTTCAGTGTTTAACGTAAGTCAACCAGTATCAAATCGAACCAACAAAAATGTTCACAGCTATCATTCTTCAACTCACATTAGTCTGAACACTACAAGATATCTTCGCTGTAATGTCGCCTATTTCTACTGCTGCGATTTTTCATTCAAGATACATTATTTCTCTGTAATAGCAGTGTACCCCAATCATTCCATGAAGTAAGCTAACCCAGGGACATTTTGCTCCTCACAATACTCCCAAATCACAAAATTTGGTTTAAAACACTTCTAAGCTGAAATGTTAGTTTAGGACATTGCTGGACAAACCACAGGTCCTAAAGGCAGTATGCTATAGAGAAAGGTAAACTTTGCGAAGTGCCTACCTAGTTTTCTGGACCATATGCACTGGTAATGGCCCCAATATTTTTTCCATCATTGCCAGGTGTTCTTTACTGTCATGTGTCTAAAGAAAAATGAAAATAGTCACAAACTATGCTGACAACATTCAGGAAAAGAAAAGCCATAGCTCTTTATTATATGGAGATTCTCTTGGTTTCCGGATCTCTGTCCAGAGTGGTTGATGCACCAGCAATAGCACCGTTACCCATAACTGTAGGAAGGGAAGCATCCTGCTGCTAACATGCAGTTGCATTTTTTCAATTACTACACAATGGACCATTCAACTTGTGACTGCTGCAAAGAATAAGAAAAAAAACCTTGACTTCTCTTTGCTATTTCACAGGAGTGCCTCAGCACAATTTCAGGTCCACAATGGGAGAGAATAGCAAAACCACTTTGTAATTGCATAAAATGGTGATTTATCCTGTTCCACTCCAGTGCAGGGCTCAGCTGCTGGCTACAAGGAGTCTGTTTCTCCTATGCCTCATTCCCTTAACAGACAGTATTGCCTACAGCAATCTCTCTCATTATCACCTTACTCTGGCATGATGCACCAACATGATCTCAAAATACAAAAATAAAAAAAACAATTAAATAGTACTTTGTGGACTGAACTTCTAGGCTCACTACTAACAATATGAAAAAAAATTGGGAGTCACCTACCGGAAAAATTGTGAATCCAAGGTAATATTCAATAAGAATGCAACCAATACTCCAAACATCACATGGCTGCGACCACCCCAAAGCTATAGGAGGAGAAAGTATTATTGAAAAATTTGAAAATAGGAACCAATGTCTGTAATAAGTTGTCTTCAATCCCCAGTAAAGCAACTTACTGTCTCTACATGTGACATGCTCTACCTGTTACTAAACCTGTTTACAAACATGACAATATAGAAACTTCCTGAAGAGACTAAAAAGCTTTTTTTCCTGGGGCTTCACAATTACCACTGTCTCACAATCTTTAGATCCACTCAGCTCAGTGATGATCGTATCTGTGCAAACATCCCAAAGGAAGATTGTTTCTACACCAGTCACTTTGCTTCCGATGCATGTAGTATTATCTTTGGCTCATAAAAGAGCTGATAAGCTTTAAAAGACTGCATGCTAGATTTTATGGCTAATATAGATGGGTTTCGGTTTCTTGTTTTTTGGTCAACTTAGGCAACTTTGTAACTACAGGCTGTCCCCAAGTTACAAACAAGATAGGTTCTGTAGGTTTGTACTTCGGTTGAATTTGTTAGTCAATGCAGGTACATTTTAAAGTGAAATCCCAGCCAAAATTATATAAATATTAGTTGTAGACAGTTTCTTTTGCCGTCTGTGCCCCTCCTTGTTCAGGAGATCTCCCCTCAAAATGATATTTCAGTGATTTCTGGACTGCAATCTTAAACATGCTTCCTTTAAAAGAAGGCTTCTCAAACTTTTCCCCTTTCTACCGAGAAAATTTTACATGACTCCCAAATATATAGGAAAATAAAATAGGTGGAAAAACCAAACATTTACTGTTAATAAATCAGAATTTGCCAAACTTGCTAAATGGGCTGATTTTTCCTTTTTCTGTAGTACTGTTGAAGCATCTTCTGTAAAGTCCACTGTAAACACTACCAGTTGTTGCTAACAGACTTGAGTAAATGAAACCTTTTACTGTTGCCAAATTTTTGGGACCTTGAGCCTAAAGAGATCCCATTTAGGATCACGACCCACAATTTAAGAAGCAGTACTTAAGCAAATATTTCTGGACTACAGTTCTACTCACCCAAAATAACTTCAGGAGCTCTATAATGCCTTGTAGACACAAGAGTGCTGTGATGTTCATGATCATATGTTGCACTTCCGAAATCCACAACTTTAATATCTGGATTTTTCAGTATACGCTCATCACGTTTCTGAAACATACCATACATTAATGAGAAGAGTCCTTTTGCTTGTAAGTGGTTAAAATAGCTCTAAAGGTATGAGATTAGAATTACCAGTTTGGAATTATAATTTTCTGTGTAGTCAGACTTCACAAACAGTATGTTTTCAGGCTTCAAATCCGTATGAGTTAGCTTGTTTGAATGCAAAACTGTAAAGAAAAGCCAGAAATTATTTCTTTAGTTATTGAAATAAATTAATTCTGTCTCAATTGTGCTACACTCTTCCTATTCTACAGATTCAACGAAGATAAAATCAAAACTAGACAAATCTTCCAGTTCAGTGTATCATTATGTCTTCCTTCCTAATCACATTTTGGTCCAAGATCTATTAGGCTTATCTTGTACATATATTTTCACCCAAAACTGCACACAGCTGCACTGCATTGTTTTTACCCACTGCCTCCAAATTGTTTACTGTTTGAGCCTTAAAATGAGACAATTTGGAAACTGAAATTGTATGTGCCATGACTTACAGTTGACAGATTTGCAGATCTGGTATGCCATTCTTCTGATGTGATCCATACTAAATGGCAAAAAACTGTTTTCTTTAATGAAGTCATAAGTACTTAATCCCAATAGTTCGAATACAATGCAAACATGGCCGTAGTGTTCAAACCATTCCAACATCTGGACACAGGAACTGTGGATATAATTAAAAAATCACAAAGTCATGCATTCTGATTACAAACACAGGGAAATGTATATATTGATTCCAAGGCAAGATGCCAGAGAATTGTGACAGAAAGTATCAGTTAATACATGCAATGCCATACTTTTCCCCAAAGAGGAGTTTAAAAATATGCTAGAACTTCTAAGAATTTCATATTATTGTTGTATACTTACAATGTGCTGTGAGGATCTGTTGCATTTAAGTGCTCCAACACTTCTATCTCTGAACGAGCAGCTTCTGAGTATCTATCAACATTTTTTACTATTTTTACTGCCACGTGTCTACCACCCCTAGAAACAGAAAGGTTGATTAGTCAGTAGGAATCAGAGTTACAGTGTAGTTTCTTCACAAAATGGATAGCAGGAAGTTGAAATGTTTAGTCTGCTTTAATAGAAAAAGCCAATGTACCTCTAGGACAAAAAACGAGTATGTTCAGTGAAGTATTCATTTTAAGAATTTTAACTTGCACCTCTCCTAAAGCCCACAAAAGTATAAATCCTAAAATATAACAATGACTGACCTTCAGGGGAAATCACTGAAAAATTGACTTATACCAATCATGAACTTGCAGTCTCACAACACTAGTATTCATGTAATCAAAACCCACATCCGTACACATTTAAAAATTCCAAGACTTGCAGAAATGTTTTTTATTGTGGGGGGGGGGGGGGGGGGGGGGGGAGACTACTGAAATACGAGTATATCTATGGTTATGAAATATTGGAGCAGATGACCAGAGAGAGAAAATGAACCTAATCCCCCAAATGAAGGATGATGCTATGTTATTTTCATTCTTCTAGCACCATCCTTATTCATGGATAAGGGAGGGGACAGGGATGAACAAGTGCAAATGCTGTCTCACACACTTCAGGGTTTTTTTGGTTGCTTCTTCAAGCATTTAGAAAAAGATAACTTACGCTTTGTGATCAAGGCACTCCACTACTTTTCCAAAAGCACCTTCACCCAGAATAGACACAATTTCATCTAGGAACAGGAAGGGAAATTAGTTATACAAGCAGGGATACATTTTTTTTATTAACACACCATGCTATATTACAGGCTGTACCGCTATGTAAAAAGTATAGTTTTTTTTAAAAAATAATTGGACAACCCTTCAAGACAATTATGCCTATCTCATTCTAGATTAGCTTTACTTCTCAGAAAATTCTAGGTAAAGTTTAAATTATATAGAAATATCCCCCCAAATGAAAAAAAGAAAGAAAGAAAATGCACAGAACAAAAACCCAAGAAATAAAAGGACTTTCAAGATTCCTGACTTCTTATCTAAAAGAAAATTATTCTATCTGAAAAATGAATAAGTTTTGAAAAATATTCTATACATCTTGCACTTAGTACGTCTCCACTCTGACAGATCAGGTGACCCTCCTCATCATCCTCTACACTCCTCGATCTTTTCCTTCGGTGACTCCTCTGGTAACGGCAAGTGCGCGGCACCAAGATCATCCAGCCAATCAATAAAACCGAGTGAATTCAGGGCAGAATACGAAATTCATTCAGCAGGGATATTCAGGTATTCAGATACGCGCCAGGCCACAAACGGTTGGCAGGAACAATTTCAAATTCCCCAGAATTTCACAGGGCAGATAGTTTAGGTTACAGGAGAAAAACATGGCAAGGAACAGATTTTCAGATAAGGTACTTCAAAAGTGGCAAGGCATTAACACAATATATGCTTTTAAAAATATGGTTCACGAGAATGATATATTTTGCAAATAAAATCTCTTCAATTTAATGATGTCATTTAGAAAATGCTGGAATTTACTGACTTACAGTGGCCCTCCTAATAAAGCAATCTCAACAAGACTGTAACTACTCAGAATTTTCAGTCTACAGTCAACTCAAATGAAGAGCTTTGCAAACTATATGATACACTTAAATCATATACTCATTTTATGCTTGCGGAAATATATGCCTCACTCAACAGATGATCAGCACCATCCATGCCGATAGTGATCATCCTCTGTCACACAGTGGAAGATGGAATAGAAATAGGTACTATATCAATTCCTGATGAATCTACACAACTAGGCATGCAAATCCCACCCAAAAACAGCAATTCGTTTGCCTAGTAGGACAGATCAATGCATGTAAAATATTGCATGGCTACACTTGTTGGTTTTTCAGTGAGTTTTGTCTGATTTCCCCATAAAAGCTTTTCATCACAAGTTCTAGTCACTTACCATCTAATACTTAAATATACATACTGATTTCTTTAAGACCTTTTCTCAACTTTCTCTTTATATTATCAGTAATACCTATTCGGTCTTTAAAAAACACCCCAAACATGCAATGTGGCCACTAATTTTGTTTAATTTGCCTAATAGGTGACTTTTAACCCCATTTTCAACAGGTGTCCAATTCAGATTTTTGTGATCAATATATAAAAACAAGGTATGCTAATCATTCTAAAACTATCTGCCTAAACACCTCATCATTTTTATTCTGAAACACAAAATCTAGCAGTATTTATTTTTTTCTTCATGAACCAGTATTTCTAATTATGTTCATAGTACTTTAAATGATACATACCGCGTGTGAGTGATGCGATTTGCTATGGCGAGTCTTGTGTTTTCTTTTGTAACTGCTTCTGCCGCTATGCCCTGATGACTTGCTACTGTGATTGTGATAACCAGTTTCATAGTCCCGACAATGGTGCTTGCTTTCAGAGAGTTGGCTAAAGTTGTTTCTGTATTCAACATAGCGACGTTCATGATTATCTCTTTCATGGAAAGAACTGGCATCTGAATAAAGGCTGGAGAGGAGGCAGAAACACAAAAAATCCATTCTCATTTTCTCCTGCTTGTATTTTATATTCAATTTCCAAATACATATAAATTGCATCAGAGGCCCCAGAGTTGGGTTAGAAGGTAATATATAAAATATATTACATGAAGAAATAAAAAGCATAAAATAACAGCTAACATTTCAAATATAAACATAATAAATGAAAAACGTAACTTGCCTATCATAAATTTGGGTGTCATTATACTTGCAGCGCTTGCTGTCATGAGAACTGCTATATGATTTTCTTTTTCTCTTATGATGGCTGCTGCCTTGATGGGGATCCTCATACTGTTTTTCATCCCAGTCAGAATAATCTGTTTGTTTGGAGTACCGCATCTGGAAATTAAGATATAAATTTTCAACCAAAAAGATGTACAGTTTCCACTGCAGGATAGACTATTTCACACTGTGGACAAACAGTTTAAGAGCAGCTAATGTCCAAATACCTAGTTATTTTACCATGCACATGATATTTGTTTCAACACAGTAGGCTCTTAGTTAATCAGAACTCTAGCAACCAGTACTCTCAAGCAACACACAAAAATTGAAGAAATAATACTGAATTTACAAAACTTTCAAAAATACAGTAAAACTGTATTATTCAATTAAGTCTGTGTTTATTCACCTTAATATGCTTTTAATTGCTTTATTTCAATACTAATACCAAATCAATACAGAATTTATTGTATAGTGTAAGGTAAAAACAACATTTATCCAGCATCTACCAATTATCATGGATGTTGGTTAACTGAAAGTCTATATTGTATTTTTTAGACAAACTATTATGTCTTAGCAAAATACAGTATTTATGGAGAAATACTTTAGCACAGCTGGGCATGTTTTTACTGAGGCCTGAGATCAGGGGTCCCGAAACTAAGGCCCACAAGCCAGACGCAGCCCTCCAATGTAATTTACTAGCCTCAGGGTTAGCCTAAGTCTAAAACAAATGTATGGCTCACAACAATCCCAAGGACAGACTGAGAGACAGCTTTTATCCTAGAGGCGTAACTATATGGAACTCGGTTACTTTGCACTGATATGGCATTGGGGACTGTACAGTGGTGGTGAGTGTGGGGAGGAGGAATTAAGTGTGTTGTTTTGCGAAGTGTGCTGGGGAAAGCATTTAATTTAGTTATATAATGACAATAAAGTTATTCTATTTTATTAAGTTGATATGTGATCAACCAAAATCATGCTCAAACTTCCCATTGAAATACTAATAAGTATATGTTGGTAAAAATTGTTCTTCGTTTTAAGTTTTATATTGTTCTTCTGTGTTTTTTGCACCACAAATTAGGTATGTGCAGTGTGCATAGGAATCCATATTTTCTTCAAACTAGTCCCCCCCTCCCCCCGCCTCTTCCCAGCAGTGAGAGATGGTGAACTGGCCCTTCGCTTTAAAAGTTTCATAACCCGACATAGATCTTTAAAAACACTTTTTGTATGATCATACACAGGAAACAAAATATTTGATTAGGTTCAACCAGTATTTACCTGAGGAATTACTTGTGGAGGCTTTTTTTACCTCAGCCCCAGGATTAGCTGAATCAACCCAGGATACATCTAGACTGGGGTGTCAAACCCGTTTTTACCGAGGGTCACATCAACCTTATGGTTGCCCTCAAAAGGGCAAAATCAATGGAGGAAGTGGACACAAGACAGTGCTAATTGCATACTATGGAAAGCCCTACTGAAGAATAGAGGCAGCGTGGTGTAGCGATTTGAGCACTGGATTATGACTCTGGAGAACAGAGTTTAAATCCCAATCAGCATGAAAACCCACCGAGTAACCTTGGGGAAGTCACAAACACTCAGTCTCAGAGGAAGGCAAAGGCAAATCCCCATTCAACAATGTTTGCAGAAGATACATATATACATGTTTGCCGTTAAAAGAGTTGCCATACATTGGAAAGATTGGAAGGAAAAATAATAAAACAGGACACAGGTATCTTTATTAGGCTTTAAAGATGTGGGTGTTCCAGCAAATTTTGATTTGTTTAAAATATAAGCTAGAATCCTTCATTCTAGGTACTAATGCATAGGTAGGCCAGGGAACCCTGGCCTACCTATGCGACCACATCCCTTTTACATTCCTACAGCTCACAAAGCGGCTGGCTACCATTTCCACTTGCTCCCAGCCATGACTAATCTGTTGCTACAGAGAGAAATAAGATCCCTGTTATTTTTCCTTTTCATGCCAGCATTTCCCCCTAATGTAGATCACCTTCTAAACACCAGGGGAATAGATTCCCCTTAAATGGGGAGGGGGGTTGACTAATATACTTTGACCCCACTTTAACAACCATGGCTCAATACTATGGGATCAGGGATTTGTAGTTATATAAGGGTCTTCATTCCTCTCTGCCATATAGGTGGCATAGCAAATGGTATTCCACAGAATTGAGCCAGGGGAGGTGAAGTGTTGTCAAACCTGTATCCAGGGTTAACAAGGATTGGGGGCTTTCTAGGGTCCTTATATAAATTGTTTAATTTTAACTTTATGTTGTCTAATGTTTGAAGCTGTCATTAAATTTCTGTGATTTTCTGTTTAAATGTTATAATTGTCTTGATACTGGCACTGAATGTTTACCTTTGTTTTTTGAAGTCCTCGTGGGGGACAGGACGGGATATCAATAAAGTTTTAATATTACTATTACTATTATATTATATGGGACCTAAACAAGGACTGCATTGGGATCATGAATGCTAAAGTTACACAGCCATTATCGTATTTTGGCCACGTTTTAAACTCTTGTCGCTAATTTACAGCCTTAACCAATAGTGTTTTGTTGCTTTTATAGTTTTGTTATCAACTTTGACAAGGCTTGGCCTGGAAAAGAGACTAAAGGGCTTCTAATGTGTTTCCTCTATCAGAAGCTCTGTGTCTTGCTTCCTGTTTTCTTTTCCTAGTTTTTAATTGTCGTTAAGAAATGACTCATCCCAGATTCCTGTGGTATAGGGTTCTTCCACAGTGACATATAATCCAGATTATCAAGGCATAATAACCTGCTTTGAACAGGAATCCACATTGCCATATATTGAAGATTGAAGACATGGATGTTTAAACAAGCATTCGGTTAATCCGTTGCAACGAATTTTGATGACTGAAGGATTGGTAATCATGGACGATGAATTTTGGACTGCGATTCCAGACAAGCATTCGGTTAATCCGTTGCAACGAATTTTGATGACTAAAGGATGGGTAATCATGGACAACGAATTTTGGATTGCGATTTCAGTTACGAGATGCATGGGATTGTTATTGGTGGCCCAATAACTTGTATTGTATATGTGTTTTATGCTTTTAAATTGAATATTGTTTTTTAACTGTTGTAAACCGCAATGAGTCGCCGATTTAGGCTGAGATATTAGCGGTATACAAGCGCATTAATAAATAAATATATCTCTAGGTCCCAACCCCTTCTCCTGTTGGACTTATGGAAACAAAAGAAAGGGCCTGCTCCATGATGGTCCCCCACCTTTGGAATCCCTCCCTAAAGAAATAAAAGCAACCCACTCCCTTCTCTCCTTTAAGTATCAGTTTTAAACCTACCTCTGTTCACTGGCATATGGAGAGGATGACTATACGTTTATATACAATCAAATACAACCGTCCAGAATTTGTCATTATACTCAGGCTTGGTTGGTTTGGAGTTAGTTGGTATTGTTGGCTTTGCTAACTTTATTGGTTGTGTAATATTTTAATAATTATTTTAAAGGACCTATAAGTGTGGTTTAATATAATTTATGTTTAATGTTTTTATGTAAGATGTAAATTACTCGATAGGTTATGTCATTATTTCATTTTTGTTATAATTTTGTTGCAGATGTTTCTTCTTTTTGGGATCCAAGTGGTTGGTTTTTGTACTTGTATCTTTGAATGTATTCGACATTGAATGTTTGCTATTTTTTGTTGTAATCGCCCTGAGTCCCCTTGGGGAGAGAGGGCAGAATACAAATAAAGATGACGATGATGATATCCAAGTTCAAAGCAGATAATATGGGATTTTATTCATATGTGTGGAAATGGGCCTTAGAACCACAGTGTGAACAAAATACATTGATTCTTTGCCCATTTTCAATCCTGCTGTGAAGTTGGGAAATATGTCTCTTTAGGGAAAAAGCCACCCCCTAAAATACTTCTCAGTTGTGTAAGAAGACATCATTAGGCAGTGTTCTCCTGAGTTTTCCTCTGATAAATTCACATTTAAAAAACAGCCCATGCCATCTAAGGGCCCTTCTACACAGCCATATAACCCATTATATCAAAGTAGAAAATCCCACAATATCTGCTTTGAGCTGGGTTATCTGTGGCCCTTTCCACACAGCTGAATAAAATCCCGTAATACTGGCTTTTAGCTGGAATATATGGTGACGTGGCTTCAGGACCCTTCCACACAGCCATATAACCCATATCAAGGCAGAAAATCCTACATCTGCTCTGAGCTGAGTTTTCCGTGGCCCCTTCCACACAACTGAAAAAAATCCCATAATATCGGTTTCTTGCTGGAATATATGGCGGTGTGGTGTCAGGACCCTTCCACACAGCCCTATAACCCATAATATCATGGCAGAAAATCCCACAATATCTGCTCTGAGATGGGTTATCTGTGGTCCCTTCCACACAACTGAATAAAATCCCATAATATCTGTTTTTAACTGGAATATATGGCGGTGTGGTGTCAGGACCCTTCCACACAGCCAGATAACCCATAATATCAAGGCAGAAAATCCCACAATATCTGCTTTGAGCTGGGTTTTTTGTTACCTTTCCCACACAGCTGAATAAAATCCCATAATATCTGTTTTTAACTGGAATATATGGCGGTGTGGTGTCAGGACCCTTCCACACAGCCAGATAACCCATAATATCAAGGCAGAAAATCCCACAATATCTGCTTTGAGCTGGGTTTTTTGTTACCTTTCCCACACAGCTGAATAAAATCCCATAATATCTGTTTTTAACTGGAATATATGGCGGTGTGGTGTCAGGACCCTTCCACACAGCCAGATAACCCATAATATCAAGGCAGAAAATCCCACAATATCTGCTTTGAGCTGGGTTTTTTGTTACCTTTCCCACACAGCTGAATAAAATCCCATAATATCTGTTTTTAACTGGAATATATGGCGGTGTGGTGTCAGGACCCTTCCACACAGCCAGATAACCCATAATATCAAGGCAGAAAATCCCACAATATCTGCTTTGAGCTGGGTTTTTTGTTACCTTTCCCACACAGCTGAATAAAATTCCGTAATATCGGTTTTTAACTGGAATATATGGGGGTGTGGCCTCAGGACCCTTCCACACAGCCATATAACCCATATCAAGGCAGAAAATCCCACAATATCTGCTCTGAGATGGGTTATCTGTGGTCCCTTCTACACAACTGAATAAAATCCCATAATATCGGCTTTTAACTGGAATATATGGCGGTGTGGCCTCAGGACCCAGAATATCAAGGCAGAAAATTTGAACTGGATTATCCGAGTCCACGCTGCAATATAATCCAGTTCAAAGCAGATAATGTGGGCTTGTATTCAGCTGTGCGGAATGGGCCTAAGAAATTACCAAATGAGATACCTCGGTCGCAGCCGCCATTTCACCCCCTTTTGGCGACGGCTGAGGGAGACAATATGGCGGCGGGCGAAGAGTCGGCTGGGAATTCAACAGGGCTGCAGAGGCTCGCTGCCCTCTCTTCTCCCACAGGTCTCGCAAGCAGAGCAGAGAAGGAATAGACTCGCCAAACGACAGGTGCCACGGCAGTTAGAGTGCTGCCAAAGTGTACCAATTCCACAGTGCGGGGGAGAGGCAGCGGCGACCCTGCCGCCTCAGAGGCCTTGGTCCGCCACCGCTTCTGCGACCCATTCGGAGCCACTCGCGTCCCTCCCGCCGCCCCGAGTCCCCCTCGCCGCCTACTCCACTTACCGCTCCTTCTAGAGTGGGCGCCTCTTCACGAGGTGTGTCTCTCAGCGAAGCTCCCGCGCCTTCTCTCTGCCACAGCTGCTGGAGACAAAATGGCGCCGAGTTGGCGTCGTCTGAAAAAACAGGCACTGGCGTCACAAAGGACCGCGCCTGCGCAGAAGAGGTACCCCGGCGCTTTAGAGTGGCAGTTGCGTCACTAGATACCAGCCATACATCTTTCCGTAAAAGAGGGAAGCTAATAGTTTCCGGCCAATGGGCGACGTCGGAGGAGGGGGCGGGGCCTGCGTGTGGTTTTGGCCGCCTACAGAGGACAAAAGAGCCACAGTGGCCTTTTCTGCAACCTGTTTACAAGTTGAGCATCCCTTAACCAGGGGTCCACAAACTTTATAAACAGACGGCCAGGTCACAGTCCCTCAAACTCTTGGAGGGCCGGATTATAATTTGAAAAAATATGAATGAATTCCTATGCACACTGCACATATCTTATTTGTAGTGCAAAAACCACTTAAAAACAATACAATAATTAAAATGAAGAACAATTTTAACAAATATAAACGTATTAGTATTTCAATGGGAAGTGTGGGCCTGCTTTTGGCTGATGAGATAGGATTGTTGTTGTTGCTGTGTGCTTTCAAGTCATTTCAGGCTTAGGTTGACCCTGAGCGAGGGCCAAATGACCTTGGAAGCATCCGGCCCTCCAGCCCCTGATTTACAAGTAACTACACAAATACAAACCGCCTTAGTGGAGTTCAGATTTGAGAAGAAGCTGAGCGTGTTTAAGGATGGGCTTGGGCATATGCATGCTCTAAGTTCTGAGTTTCTCCCTTCATATATTAATATCACCCGCGTTGGATGCTTTGGAAATAGTGTAAAGGTTTTCATTGAAGCTCCAGGGTGAGACAAGTATCCGTTTTGTGAGTATGTGTGAATGTTTTTCAATTCTATTATGGGATTTCTCATTAAATATAATTTAAAGTGAACAACGAAAAACACAGCAAAACCAATTTGGAGTTTCTCTATTAAATGTTTAGCCAGTCATTTGGTTCAAGGTCGTGTTGTTTCTGCCAATACGGTTTCGCACTCACAAGCGTATCCTTCTCCCAATGTTCGTCATGTTATCAATTACTGCGTCAGTTGAGAACTTTGTTGATGATTTACCGACTGTCTTTTTTTCCCTAGTGTTGTGAATAAAAGACACGACACCCCTTAGGACAGTTGCAAACAATGGACACCAGATGCTGGTGGAATTATCTGCAAAATACCATACATACCCCCTCAAATCCACCAAATGCAATCGTCCAATACAAATATTCCCTTCCCTCTCCTGATTACCTT